CCCAGGGCTGGGGCAGCTCTGCAGGGGGGTCTCAGCTGAGGGGGCAGAGGGGCAGAATCCCCCCCTCTCCACTGCCCACGCTGCCCACGAGTGCACGAGGGGTTCTGGACTGGGTCCTCTCCAGCCTCTCCCCCACCAGCCCCCCAGGTTCTTCTCCCAGGACTGCTCTCGATTTTTCTTTGCCTCAGAATTTCTCCTCCTCCTTCGGGGGCAGCTCTTGGAAAGCACAGGATCCCTCCCCCTCTGTCCCTTGTCCACGGATCCCTCGGGGTCTGTGTCCCCTCCCAGCCCCTGCACATGAGCCACCTCCAGCCTTGTCCCTGCTCTCCCTGTCCTTGGTCACCCTGGGCTGGAGGGAGTGGTTTGGCCTCCCCTGCCAACATCCAAGTGTCCCTTTGGCACCGCTGTGGGCAGAGGAGGACGGAGCATCTCCCGCGGGTGTTTCCTTGCAGGTTATTGGATGGACAGATCCTCCCCTGCTCCCCGAGCCCCCCAGCCCCCCTCCGCTGCCCCACAGGGCTTTGGGGGGGATGATCCCCCTGGAGGTCACGGGGACAGCGGCTCCGGATCAGTGACCCCCTGGCAGGAGGAGCTCCCGCATCCAGAACAGGGGTGGACCACCCCTGGCTGTGGGGACAGCAGGGACTCTTAGGAACAGCCTCTTCCCAGAGTTTGGCACGATATCCAGGGGATTTCGGCGGGACCAGCCGGACTGAACGTCCCCGTGATGCTCCCTGGTGGCAGCGGCGAAGGGATGCAGCTGGAATACCCCAAACTGGAGTGTATTCACAGTTTACTGGAACCTGGAGGGAGTCACTGGGATTTGGGGATGCTCCAATCCCTCTCGTAGTCCCTCCCGACCCAGGAAACTCTCCGGGGAGGGGACACGGTTGGGAGGTTCTCAAGCAAAAGTGTTTGGGTTGGAGAGGGACGTGGGATGGATTCGGGATATGGGATGGATCCAGGATAGGGGATGGATCAGGACATGGGATGGATTCAGGATATGGGGTGGATCCAGGATATGGGATGGATCCAGGATATGGGATGGATCCAGGATATGGGATGGATCCAGGACGTGCTGTCCCACCAAGGGAGCAGATCCCATTTGCTTCAGAGAATCCTGGGAAGTGACAACCCTCCCCAGACCCCCCAGCCATGGCAGGGACAGAAGCCCTTGTGCCACCACCTTGTGCCCTTGGGGACCTCCTTGGGGTGTCACTGCCCCATCTGAAACGGGGCTGATCCCAATGCCACCAGTGTCCCCAGGGCTGGGAGGGGTCTGTCCCAGTGCCACCGGTGTCCCCAGGGCTGGAAGGGGTCTGTCCCAGTGTCACCAGTGTCCCCAGGGTCGGGAGGGGTCTGTCCCAGTGTCACCAGTGTCCCCAGGGTCGGGAGGGGTATGGCTGCCCTCCAGAGACCCTACCTGGGGTGGGGAGGGGAGTGGAGGGTGCAGTGGGAAGAGGGGTTGGGGAGGGCAGAGGGAATGGGGTGAAAGTGGAAATGTTTAAGGCAAGGAAAGGAGGGGGGTGGATGTGAGGAAAATGGGAAGAGCTGGCAGGGAAGTGCTGGTCCCACAGGAGGGACTGGGGAGGAGCAGCGGCCTTGAGGGACACTCAGGGTGGCCTTAAGTCCTCGATGGAGGTAAAGGGGAGCAGAGGGAAAGCTGCAGGTCAGATGGGACCTGGAGTGTCACCCCAATGTCACGGGGCACCCTGGCAGGGGTTTCAGTGCCTCAAAAACTCAGGGCAGGGCTGGGCAGCCTCCTGGGGATCCACAGTGACAGGAGAGGAGCAGAGCAGGCTCTGGGGGGTGGTGCCTGTCCCTGTGCTCCTGCTGGGCTCCTGCTGGCACCGGTGATCCCAGAATTGGGGCTGGTGGAGCCCCGGGCTGAGCTCTGCCCTCCCCCTTCTGCTGCAGCCCGTCCCGGCTCCGCGCTGGCCCCGGGGCTGGCACAGC